AATAGCATGAGAACTGGTCCAATTGCGTAAGGGTTTAGCTGAAGACGACAAAAGAAAAATTAGAGTATGTCTTTTACTTTACCAATTTCTGGCAATGGATGTTAGCCTAGGAAGTGTATTTATCTTTGTTTTATGGGGTGTGGGTAAACTTGATAGATAATTTAAGTCCTCTCTCTTTTGTTTCTCTACATACACTTTACGTATATCCCTCGGACCAATATGGCACAAATGTTTCCAAAAAAATATATATTGGCACAAATGTACAAGCTTGTTAGGGACTGTTATAAAGTTGTGGTGGTTACACCCACAATCTAACAATAATTAATTATTATTAAATAATATATGTGAATGATTATTGTTCTTGATGTAATTGTATTATTACGATTGTGCCATCAGAAGTTTTCCTATAAATAGGAGTTTCATTTGTAATGAAAATACACCAAGAAAAGATATTCTTTCTATTCTCTCAATTCCTCTAAAGTTAAATTACAAAAGATATAACTCCTTGTTGACTACCGACTTGGTAATTCATGGGTCATTCAAGAGATAAGCAGAGTTACGGCTGAATCAGTCATAATGACATTGACTTCAAGTTAATTTTATGTCGTCCGTCAGCATAAGGATATCTTATTTATAATATCACATGATTCCGGAACCATGCTTCTTTATAACCGACATGACGAGCCGCCAGAACCGACGTGACAAAAGACTTCGGTTGTCACCGACTTCTCGGGTTCCTCCACCGACGTGATGACGAACCTCGGATAGAACCGAATTCATCAATACTGAAGCAGGTGACGAGGCACCCACGCGACGTCCTTGCGTTTCGCTCGCAACATCATGACGATCGTGAGCCCAACTGTCATAACCGCCCAGTTAAAGCTACTTTTCATATAATCCTGAATTATTGAGGAGTCTCGAAAGACGTGTCATGAAAAAGGTACTATATATAGGCTGAAATCCCCTCAGCAGAAGGGGAGGACTCTGTTTTTTACTCTGTAACAGCTCCACCTCGGTTGCAATATCACCGACTCGACATTAATCAATAAAAATCCCAAACTATCGCTATTTTACGTTCTGAATCATGTAATTCTATGTTAATTATGTTGTTACAAATCCATACGACAACACCCCTATTGTACTTTATGAGGACAATGCAGCTTGTGTTTTACAAATGAGTAGTGGGTATGTTAAAGGAAGCATGACAAAACACATTGCTCCAAAATTCTTTTACCCTCACGAGCTTAAGAAGAGCGGTGAGATTATTGTACAAAAAGTACGATCTAGCGAGAATTTGACAAATTTATTCACCAAATCCCTTCCTACATCTAGTTTTGAAAAATACATTTATGGTATTAGTATGCATAAACTGGGAAGACTATTGTCTTCAGGGGGAGGGACAAATTCAAAATAATAACGAAATCAGATCCTAAAGACCAAATGTTGTACTCTTTTTCCCTTGACTGAGGTTTTGTCCCATTGGGTTTTCCAAGGTTTTTAACGAGGCAACAGTAATATTGCATTCACATGAATAATGTACTCTTTTTTCTTCATTAGGATTTTGTCCCATTGGGTTTTTCCTAATAAGGTTTTAACGATGCATATTCATGGTAATGAGGACTACTGGGTAATTGATATAATTCTTCATAATGATAAGAAGACACTAGGTGTAATGCCCCACTTTTATTTGCCGAAAATCAGAATAAATTTTTCAAATTTATTTCAAAACACCTGAGGCGCTACTCATTTTCAAGACAAACTTCAATACTTAACCAATATTTCAATAATCAATCAATCTCAATACTCAATCCTCAATCATCATTTCAATTTTCCATAATTCAGTCATCATTAATCAATACTGCAATCCAATACCCAAACAGGGTTCCTGAATTTCAAAATATCTAGGAGGTACACTCCCTATCAAGAATCCAATATTCAATATTTCAAAATGCAATAATATCAAAAGTAAGTTCAATAGGCGGAAACAATAATCAAATAAATAGGCCACCACTCGCGTCCCTCCGCCGTGCCCGCAACACTAACCTGCATCCATGAAGAGCAGGTGGGTATGAGCACAATAGGAAATTGAGGTGCTCACCACTATGCAATAATTAATATTAAATTTCATAAAATAAAGCAGGTATGATCGTAGTATGAACACAAATCAATTAATATCTCATCTCCTTCCCAGAGTCAACTCTCGTGTGCACACCTATACCAATAGACCACTGCTGATACACGTATCGAAAACCCCCGCGGGCCTTACATTTGATGCCCAGACAGTGGGAGTAAATCCACCCCGAATGCCCGGAAACATCCCATCGGACTTACATCGAGGATCACTAGCCAAGGCTCACGCACTGACTGCCATACATAAATAAAGGAGACACCCCATCGGGTACGTTCTATAGTTACGGAGATAACCGCTCGACGGTCAATATAGCTCACATCGAAGGCTACATGGTTCACATGCATACTTTGATCATACCACAACAATAACAATTAATTAATGCATAGAAACTTTTCAAATAAAACCCACCTGGTATCCGTAGAAAGAAGTCACAGAAAATCGAAGGAAAAAGGTAGGCCGAAAACACAGCTCGTCAAACACCTACATTACACAAAATAGTCCTATGAAAGACTATCCAACACACGAACACTTATAACCACACTCATGCGATATAACTCAACCACATAGTTCATAATAACATGTTTGCACAACGAATTCGCATAGTCTCAGTATTTTCAATATAACAGGAGTTACAAGTATGCTATTCAGGTGATTCCAAAACCAATGAGTAGCTAACACATATATCCACAACTTTAATGCTGATCACTTAAGCCAATGATATCTTTACAGCCGAGTTTAAGCATAAAAACACTTAGGTCAAGCAATCAGCCAACATAACTATTTATCAATTTACAGCACTTCACTAAAACAACAAGAACTCAAGTTACAGAACTCCAAATCATACAAACTCAAAACCTACAGAAACTACACAAAGAGAGCTACAAGTTTCAAGAAGAGTATTTTTACAAATAATCATGTTACAGGCCTCATTTCAGAACATGCATTCCAATCATATACACAGCCACTGTTTTAAAAATTCTGGGCATAACCTCAACTTGGAAAAATCATATAAAATCAACTAAAACTCCAAATAGCATGATTTCAACTCCCAGTGAAAGCTTATAACATGTACTACAAGTTTCATGATGATTACATATTTAAATTGCCACATTAGGATCATCAAAAACAGCCCAACATCATGATCCACTAATCTGCCCGAAATTACAAAAACTGCATGCATGTACAACTTCAAAAATTCGTAATAAATTCAAATCAACTCCGAATTTCGAAATTCCAAATCTCACCGAACCCTAACTCAAAATACTACAATTCTGATGATGAACACTTAACCAGGAAACAGCTACTTGATTACGAAAAACTGAGCACAACCAGCAGATTTAACTTGAAGTTTTTTTTTTTAATCAATTTTCAACTCAAATCATACACTCATGAACATAGCATCGACAAGACACATATAATCACCACGTATATCTCAAATACTCGCATATAAAACATAAGGAGGTCAAAGATTTCACAGTATACGCGCATATCAATTATCTTCGTCTGTTTGTCGCATAGCTTTTTGCATCAATTATCTTCGACTGTCTGTCACATATTTTCTTCCATAATTTCTTCGCACTTTATCAATTATGTTCACCTGTTTGTCGCTTAATTTATCGCCTAAATATTTCGCATTTTATCAATTATATTCGATTGTTTGTCACATAGTTTTTCTCATATTATTTCGCACTTTATCAATTATGTTCGTCTGTTTATCGCATATGTTATCGCCTAACTAATTCACACTTTATCAATTATCTTCGATGTGTCGCATAGTTTTTCGCATAATTGTTTCACACTTTATCAATTATGTTCGCATGTTTGTCGCATAGATTTTCGAATAACTGTTTCGCAATTTATCAATTATCTTCGTTCATATGACGCATAATATATCACATAATTATTTTGCACTTAATCAATTATCTTCGTTTGTCTATCACATAACTTACCATATAGTTCATTCCCACTTTATGTGGTGAAATTATTTGGTGATGTGTAGTATTCTTTGATAAAAAGTGAGTGAAAATTGCTATTTCCACTAATTTATATTTAATATGATTTAAAATGGGGCAAAGTTGAACCTCCAACTATAACCACAAATTGTTGTGCACATGTTCCACGAGGGACCATGTAAATATTTTATTATATCCTTTTCTCGATATTTGTTTCTCAATAATTTATTAAGTTGTGGAAAAGCAAACATTTCCCCGCTCAAATTTACCAGTGGGGTTCTGCCATGTGATTGAGGGCCCGGGGGTTTATGGTTTGGGATTAATTTAGTGTAAGCCGNTTCAGTTACTTGATCCTATTCTATTGTATTTGATTTTTAGTTCAACTCATACTTGAATTATAGAATATTCATATTTATAAATATGATTTAAATTATTTTTTAGACATGCGATCATTCAAATTTATTAGCACATCATTACATCCACACGTGTAGTAAAGCGTCAATAATTGAAGCTGGCAAATACTACCTCAAAACCACTTGTTCACAAGTACTTTAATAGCCCCTCAAGCTTTAGACTCCATTCTACCCACTCCTCAAACCTTACATAATAGAAATTAGAAAGGACTCTTTAAGTTAATTTTTCCATTTTTCTTCTGGTCATTCTCCATTTACATTTATCCCTCTTGAAAATGGCCAAAGACTATACTTTGTCTGAGCTTGCTCAGCACAACACCAGGCAAGACTGTTGGGTTACAGTATTTGGCAAGGTACTACTTGACTTCAGTTTGATTCCTTGCTATTTTATTTTGATAAATTTGATGGGTCGTTCTTATTTTGTGAGAACTTTTGCTCAGTTTAGCCCGAAAAAGAGGTGCTACTGAACAGGAAAAAAAATTATTATGGTATGATATCAAAGTCCGATTGGAAGTGGACTTTTTTGGATTAGATTTATTTTATTGAATAAATGAAGTGAAGTGAAAAAAAAAAAATTGATTGGATAGAAATTATATTATTATATTGAGTTTGTGAGTGGATATGAGTTAAATTTAAATTAGTTAATTTGGTGTAAATTAATAAAATAATAATTGTAATTGATTGATACTTGAAAATATATAAGTAGATGAATATTGAATTTCAATGAAAATTGTAATAATAATTAATTGATATTATTTAATTATATTTAATAATATTAATGAGAGTTTAGTTGGATTAGATGAATAGTGGATTTTGAGTTAAATATTTGTATTCCATTGCTGTTTTGTTCGGAAAAAGATAGTCTGTAAGACGAAACATCCAAAACTAAACAAAACAATGTGATTGAATTATATCAATAGTAAATATGATTACTAATATATACTTAATTTGAGTTGTTTAATTTCCCAAAGGTTTACAATGTGACCTCTTTCATAGACGAGCATCCTGGTGGCGCTGATATCCTCTTGGCTTCCACAGGTACAAATTTCAAATTGTTACATTTTGTGCACACATTATGTTGATAGTAAATTATAGAAGATGGGTTGTACACTATTCTATTGTAAAAAACAAGAATTTAATTAAACATTCCTCCAAAACTACATATGATCTGTATTAATTATGTCTGCACTCTTTTGTTGAGAAAAAAACGAATGGCAAAAATTCAATTTTGATCCGTTTATAAAATTCTTTTTTAGTACATTAACTTTCCCTTTATCAATAATAGTACGTTATGTTGTACTTTGCATTATTATTGAGATTAATCCCAAAAATAGTACGTTATTTTTCGGGATTAATGTCCCAAAAATGATACAAATTGCAACATAACGTACTATATTTGACGAGTAATGTCCCAAAAATGATACAAACTGTAATATAATGTATTATTATTGGTAAGCCAAAAATTAGTGTATCATAAAAAGACTTTTGACAAGTAAACAGACCAGATTGGAAATATTCCAAAAGTGGATACATAGGAGTGACTTAATTAAAAGGTAGAAAATTAATGCAAGATGAGATGAGATGTTTCTTCTTTAATCCTAATTATATTTAATTTGGATTTGATTTGGTTTGGTATTATTAGGGAAAGATGCAACTGCAGAGTTTGATGACGTGGGGCACAGTCACGAGGCGTGGGCAATGTTGGAAAAATACTATGTGGGTGAGTTGAATAAGTCATCCATTCCAAGCAAGGGTGGTGTAAGCTTGCAGGGCTATAACAAAAAGAGCAAGAAAAAGATGTACATTATTTACCTCATCAAGTTCTTACTCCCCTTGATTCTCTTCAATCTTCTCCTTGCTTTCTATTCCAAATCATCCACATAACAACCTTTCTTAATTTTGTTGCCAAAAATAAGTATGTTTTATTTGGGAACCCTATGTTATTGTGGTTGTCTTATGCAAACATAGTGTATGCGTATTCGGTATCTTCCAGTCTTGAGGAGTTGGATTTATATATCAAATCTTGTATTTCAACACTTCCTTTCTTTTCTTTAGTTATCTCCCTTGCCTAGGCATCATCTTTTGTATTCTTGTATCACCTACTTCTCTTGATGATGGCATCATCTTTCAAAGGCCACATAGATGTGGTTTCCTTGAGATGTTAGAATGGTGGGGGAAACAAATTTAATAAATATAAATATAAATAAAATTGGTAACTTGCATTGCTTGGATTAGCTAAGGTGTAATTAACAATGTTCTCAAAACCAGATCGGACTGGCCAATTCGATCGGTTCAACTGAGAAACGACCATACACCGGTTCGGGTTAAGGTATAGAACCAATTAACAATGTTCTCAAAACCAGATCGGACTGGCCAATTCGATCGGTTCAACTGAGAAACGACCATACACCGGTTCGGGTTAAGGTATAGAACCACTGAGATTCAGAACCGGGTAAAAACTGCTTGAACCGGTTAAAAATTGCTAAAACCGTTAGGCCAGTTGCGGTTCAATCTGCCAAGCGGTCCCGCTACTCTTTTAGTATGAAGTAGTTGTACAACCATATAAATAGCTTTATTGCTTCTTTCTTTTGATGATGTGGGATTGCTTTGTTCACAGCAAATAAATAAAAGCTTGTCAATTTATTGGGCTGCTAATGGGCCTACGTTCTCTATTATATAATTGCAGTTAAAACAATCATTGCAGCTGCACCATTGTCTTATTGGCTCAAGGGACAAATTAATGTATAAAGATGCATGAAATTCTAAAAATAAAAATAATATTAAACCCCCAAATTGCTAGGTTTTCCACAAATTCCTCCGATTTTCCCTTTATTGCGCCAAAATCAGTAACTCATCGTAATCCCTAATGCCTTTTTTTTCTTTTTATTTAATTAGACAAATGTCATTACACACTATAAAATTAATGATAAAGATATATACACTTATATATTATACATATAAAATAAATAAAAATTAATATTACTTAAATTGGTTCGACCGGTTCGAACACTGATCTGACCAGTGAACAATTGAACTGGTAGCTTCACTGGTTCGGTTTTCATGGTAATTAGGCAAAATTCATTTTTTTTTTTGGTACAGAGATGGCGGGCAGAGCCCGAAAGCTACAACAGTAAAACTCGCGTGGGATGGCCACCCCACGCATATCATGATTCAGCCATTCACCCAAAACGGGAGGCGGTGACGAGAGCCTGTGCAAACCCACAGGAGAAGACATCGCTAATTCTGCTAAGTGATCAGCCGCAACGTTGGCTTCCCTGTGAACATGTTGAACCCGAACGCTCCAGTCTCTATGCATCAAATGTCGAATGGCGCATATTAACGAGTCATTGGCTCCGAAGTTATCCTCTGAACCGAGAATCAATCTAGTCACACATAAACTATCAACCTCTGCTACAACTTGTCGAAATCCCATGTCTCAGGCCAATTGGATCCCTTGAAACAGACCCCATAATTCGGCCCCCGTAATAGTGCAAATCCCAATGTTCATGGTGAAGCCAGTGACCCATCTGCCATACTCATCTCGGATCAATCCACCAGCACTGCACAAGCCCGTGGAACTTCGACAGGCTCCATCTGTGTTAACTTTCACCCACTCCGTCACTGGCGGAACCCATTTAATCATGCGAATTGCGTGGACCGCAGCACCTACTCTCGCATAGGCCTCCAATGCTTTTGCATATGTCTCCGTTTTCCTAATTATGTCTAAGCATCGATTTTCGCCGTTGATAGTCATGCCTTTGAAGACCCGTTCATTCCACCACTTCCACGTGCTCCAGATGGCGAAAGCGAAGGTACAGCCCCAGCTTTTGTACGACCCTAGATGTGTCCTTCCCAGGTTCTTCCTCAACCGCACATGCAGCGGCTGTGCGAAGAAATTGCGCGAAGCATCGGCCGAGAATAGCCTATCCCACATGCTTCTAGTAATCCGACAGACTCTCAGTACATGTAAGGTTGACTTGTTCTCGCCACACATATCACAGTCCGACGAGGTGGAAATATGTCTCCGAACCCGCTCATTGTTGGTCAATAATCGTTCCTTGGCTCCCAACCATAAGAACGTGCGGACACGTTGCGGCACTGGAGCACTCCAGATCATTTTCCAGAGATGTCGATCTGGGTCTCTCTCAGTTTGATTTAAAGCCTCGTAGGCCGACCTTGTCGAGAATTTCCCATCGTGGGAGGAACCCCACGTAATTCGATCCGACCCTGCTTCTTCCCTCGGTGGCATGATTCCAGCAATACGCATTATTATGGTAGAAGGAAGAATTCCGTGAAAAGAGGTCCACTTCCAGTTCCCCACGTCATCCATGAACTCCACAACCGGCAAGTGGAGCGTGTTGTCAGGTGGCCAGTGAGATGCGTGTTGAAGTAGCGGGCCGAGTTTGCCTATCCAAGGATCGAGCCAAAACCGGACCGCCTCACCATTGCCTAGGTTCCAACGAACTTCTTTTACCATATCGGGCCAGATTTTGCCGATGGCCTTCATTAAAGGCGAACCCTGTTGGCATCGAGGCTTGTCCAGCCTATTCGAGGGAGATAGACCATATCTTGCTGACATAAGGCGCACCCATAAGGAATTGTTTCGCGATGCGAGCCCCCACCCTAGTTTCATCAAAAGGGCGTAGTTCATTTTGCGCAAGTTCTTAATTGCCCAGGCCACCGTCCTCTTTGGTTTTACATACGTCCTGCCACGCAACCAAGTGTATTTTCTTTTTCTCTGTAGATCCACCCCAGACGAAAGCCCGACTCCTACGTTCTAGTCCTTCAGTGATGGCATTCGGTAGTAAGGCGGCCTGCATATAGTAGTAGGGCAAGGAGCTAAGAACTGATTGGGTAAGGGTGACCCGTCCGGCCAACGACAATGATTTCATGCTCCATCCTGCTAACCGTCCCTCCGCCTTATCCAGTATATGAGCGAAAGTCGAGTTAGTTACCCATCCGTGGATAATAGGCACCCCTAGGTATTTCCCCAGATTATCCGTCCTCTGAAAACGTAATGCGGATGCCAACCTACTTTGGTCCTCCTCGCCCACATTGTGGGAAAACAAGACTTGCGTCTTCTCCGAGCTAACCTTGAGTCCAGACATTTTACAGAACATGTCAAGGACTTGCTTCAGGAACGCTGCCTGATCATCCGATGCCTCCAGAAACAGGAGAAGGTCATCAGCAAACATTAAGAAAGGCACGACAACTGACCCCCTTCCAACCGAAATCGGTCTCCATGTGCGCCCTTCCACCGCTTTGCCGATAAGTTGGGCTAACCGCTCCATACAAAACACGAACAGGTACGGGGAAATGGGGTCGCCTTGCCGAACACCCCTGGTAGGCTGAAATTCCTCCCCTAATGCCCCGTTCCATGACAATCTCATCGAAGCCGAACGAACACAAGCCATGATGGCCGTAACCATAACCGCAGGATAACCGGCTAACTGGAGAGTTTCTTCAATGAAGTCCCATCGAAGGTAGTCGTACGCCTTTTCTAGGTCCACTTTGATGACCATATGACCTGTAGCTCCCTTTTTGCGGCGCATAGAGTGGATTAGTTCGTGTGCTACGACAACATTGTCAATAATCTGGCGACCCGGGACAAAGCTTGCTTGTGCCGGGTGAATTAGGCCTGGCAGGGTCCCTTTCATTCGATTCACCAGCACTTTAGGCTTTTAGAGATCCCATGGCCTGTAGGGCCGAGGAAATTTCGTCATCCGAGACGTCAACCTCCATGGTGCGCAACAGGTCCGCATCACAGGCTAGGAATAAGCTAGGTAAGGGCTCATCCATGGCAGGGGTCTGCTCGCCCGTATAGATTTTTCTAAAGAAATCGGTTGCAAGATGTTGAAGGGTTTGTTGGTCTGTGACCCGGTTACCCTCGCCGTCCATCAACTCCGTAATTCGTCCTCTCCTCCTCCGGAATTTGAGTTGCCGGTGATAGTACGAGGTATTACGATCTCCTAAGTACATCCAGTCTCTCGTTGATTTTTGGATGAGAATCAGTTCCTCTTGGAGGATGACCTCGTCTAACTCTTCTCGCAATTGCTTCTCTAGACCCACAAGTTTCTCATTGTAGTAAAATTGCCGGCTCCGCTGGATACCCCCGATTCGAGCTAGGAGTCGTTTCTTGCGTTGAAATATATTACCAAACACCGCGAGATCCCAATCTTTAGCCGCTGCTGTGAATTGGTTAGCTACGTCAGTGAAGCAAAGAGAAGGTTGTTAGAGTAGGGTACCCGGCGTTCCAATCTAATTGGACGTATTCTACTTGTAAATACAGTCTATTGGAATTATATTATGAATAAGGCATTTCTTTATCTTAAGAGAAAGCATTTATCTTATAAATACACTTAAGATAAAATCCCTAGATCACTTATGGTTATAAGGTATGGTTGCGCATAGAGATGGTGATCATGGAACATACCTTGAAAGCCGTGATCTTAAATACAGTTCCAAGTCGATGGATGTTTCGAGATGGGATATCGAATAATCCATAAAAGACTTGCACATAGTTTGTATGCTTGTTGGACAAGAATGTTGCATTCCATCAACATTAGCGTAAGACGTAAGTACATTTATGTGGGTGCTTGTTAGAGAACAAGTTCACTGAACATGACCGTATGAAAATTCTTAATGAAGAATTTATTCAGTCGAATAAGAATTTTCATGTTACAATAGTACATGACTAATCCTAAGACTTGAGGCACAATGGTAACTTTGTGCATATTACATTCTACTTTGATTTATCCTTTTGGTAGCTAGCACTATCGTTTAAAGGGATAAGTTGGGTATTATGTTAATATGTATGGAAGTTTGTTAGTGGCCAATAAAGGATTCGACACTTATGAAGATAAGTGAATTTCCTATGTGTTTCATAGTTATTAATCCAAAGTCCTTGGCCAAGGCAGAGATGAATAGTGATTCATAACCGGGTTAATAAACATGAAATAGAATCATAGTTATTAAGTCAATTTGGGTTTCGACAAAATCATACCCAAGACTTAATCGGGAAATTAGATGTCGAAAGGATTTTACATGTATGGAGTTGTAATCGGAATAGGTTTACTCGCTATTCACTTAATACTAGATTCATGCTACTTGCTAGGTGTTACCATGATATGTGGGTTCATAAATTAAAGGGTTAATTCATGAATAAGAGTTAATAAGATTTAACTCAAATTACAAAGTGTTGTAAACCCACTACTAGTATTAAGGTGAACCTAAAAGGTCACACTAATTATGAACAAAGGTAAAGATTGTATTTCTAATGGTTAGAATTAATTGATAAATATCTAATTTGATTAGATATCAATTAAAGGAATATATTAATCAATAAGATTGATTAATTACATTTTGGATATTACTTTAGTAATTAAGGTAATTACTAAATTAATAAAGTTGAATTTTAAAATAGGATTTTAAATTTCAAAAATCCAAAATAATAATAATATGATTATTATAATATTGGGAAAATGATATAATAATAAAGTCTTGAGAAAGATTCTCAAGATTTATTATCCAATTATTATTTATATCTTTAAATATGATTTAAGGATTAAAATAATAAATATGATTATAATAAAATGGTTGTTGATGGTTGTTTGAACTACTTAACATATCTTATTATTTTCAA